CCAGTATATAAGCGTATCCATCTTACAGAAGGGGAAGGGATTGCTGACAAACCCTGGGGTAAAGACCCAGCTCTCCCCAGAATCCTGTCAGCATAGAGCCTGTCAGCAGTCCTCTGAACTCTGTGAAGTTAGCAGAGAACTAAGGATTGGTTTTAAGGACAGGTTTAGTTATTTCCATGTTGAGGTCTCCATAGTGGTTCAGTGAGAGAACAGTATCTTTCTCCAGCCCCCGACATCTGGGTTTAATCCATCTCACATTGAGTTCTGTGCAGGAGTTCTGCTTAGTCCTCGTAGAAATGGAACCAGAATTGCATCTGGAATCTATTTGCAGGAGACTTTCGGCAGTGATGAGGGTGTAAATGACTTTCCTTTTCATCCAGTCTCAACAAATAACTGAGATTACTGATCTAATGACCGTCTCTACCCAATAGCTTCAAAGGGTAAGTATAGTCCTTCATGGGGAAGATTTTATTAAAAAGAACGAATGTGGAGCTTGTGTTGGTAAGTCACTTTAGTTTTGGTGGTGAATACAGGAATCGTCCAGGTGATGCCCGAGACAGCCCGCTGTGACAGCAGAACAGAGGCAGTGGTCGGAATCCCGGCTTCCATTCTTCCCAGAGGCCTTGATTTCACCTGAGCATTTTACTTCATTGCTTTATAGATACTAGATTTATTCATACTATTGCCAGCTTTTATTGTACGTGGAAGACAAGCTCATCCTTTGATCAATTAAAGCAAAGAGGGGTGTCAGAGAGGAGTGGGTAGGAGGTAACTGGAGCTGTGGTTCTGTAGTCTCCTTTCCCTGATCGGGGCTGTCTTGTGCACACCCTGCCTTGGGCTTCCTCATTACAGGTGTGGGAATTGCTTTTGCTTCTCTCTCTTTTTTTTTTTTGGAGAGGTTTTTCGCTATAGGGCACGTGTGCTCGCCAGACAGACAGAGAGAGACATAGAGACAGAAAGCGAGAAATCACCCCCCAGGGGGGATGGTCACGCCACAATCCCTTCTCCTCCATTCTCCTCTCGGGATCTTGGGCATGCATGCACACGCGCCCGGCATGAGTTCTAAGCCACCGGGTCCGGGACGCGAACCGCGGTCGACTATGTGGGAGTCCAGCGACATAGCCATTACGCTAACTGCTGGTTCCCGCTTTTGCTTCTCTTGTGAACACTCTCATTTCTGACGGATTCTAACTCATGAACAGATAGACCCTGTTTTCTTAGGAGGACTAGGTTTCTTGGGCAACCCAGTGGTCACCCAAGGTCAGGACACACTGTGACATGGTGGAGGCTAAGGGCTTCTCCCAGGTTCATCAAGGTGCCATAACTTCAGGGTCCCAGGGGAGGGCTGAGGTCCAGGAGAGCTGAGTTGTGTGAGGTTGTCAGTAGACTGTTCCTATCCCAAAGGAAGCTGATTTTCTCCATTTTTTGAAGTAATAAGTATCCTCTCTTAACTGGCTCTGACTCAACTTTTTAGACCTATCAGAAAAACAGGAAGAAAAACCCTCCACTGGAAGGGCCGGGCTATGAAGAAGTTTCACAGCAGGTTATGTGTGTATGGGTACCTTGCCAAAGTGGATCCTAGAGAATATTACTATTACGTTTTAAAGTTTCACTTCATTTTTCTTTTTCTTTTTTTTTTAATTGCCAGAGGGTATGTGTGCTTGCCAGAGAGAGAGAAAAAAAGTAATCCACCATGGGATGAAGTCACATCGCAATCCTTTTTCCTCCATTTCTTCATTGCATCAGGATTTGGGGCATGTGTGTATGTATCTGATGGGGTTTTCAAGCCACCAGGGCTGGGACTTGAACCATATTCACCAACGTGGGATTTGACTCCCTGGGACAGGGCTTAACTATTGCAGTATGGGGCCAGCCCTGCACTTCATCTTTAAAAGTTTAAAATGTACTTCATTCTGGCCATTCAAAATGCCTGGTAAAGTTTGAATGAGGATTCTGTTATCACTCTAGTGTTTGCCCACAGGAGAGTGAAAACCGCTCTGTATTTGTAAAACAAGAAAAAAAAAAAACCTTTGGCAACAGTATTATTTTAGACACAGAGAAATGGTTTCTTTTAGGTTGCGGTTTCGACCTAATAGAAGTAGCTAAGCATGATGGAGCCTGCCTTTTTACATAATGCTTTGGCCAAACCCAGGTAAGCTCCTTGAAGCTGTAATGTGTGTCCTGGCTTTTCAGGAGCCTAGACGTGAATCTTTCCACATGTGCCTCGTCCTCCAAGCCTCGGTGTGTGAACCACTTGCCTTTCTCTCTTAAGGAAGCAAGCAGAAGGTTGCTCCTTAGAAACGCAGGCCAGGGCAGGACGTGAGAGTGGTCAGGATAGAGGAGAAGCCATTTAGGTCTGGCCCCTCAATACGGCCTTTCCACTTGGTTATGGTGGTGCTGTTGCCATACCGTCTAAGACATCAGGACACTCCGGGGAGTATGCAGTCCTCAGATAGAGTCTGAATAAAACAACTTCGCATTCCTGACAGGAGGCCCACTCACCATCTTTGGCAGTGTCTCTGGTCAGAGTTGCCCTGTGCCTGCTCTAGGTAAGTGAGATTTTTTCAGAATAAATCCTCAGCTGGATTACTGTGGTCTTTGAACCACTTCCATCAGCCTAGTCACACTGAATGGTGTTTAGTGCAAAAAGGTGTTTTGCTGTCAAGTTCTTTCAGTGTGTTTCCAGTCTTTCTTGAAACAGTTCAGTTGCTTAAAGTTAGTATTTCGGTCCCTACCAGTGTAAACCTACTAATTGCAGCCTATGGAATGTAGTTACTTGTACTCTTCACAGATGGGCCCAAATAAAAGTGTGTTTGACTGTTCAAACCTGGGAAATTATTAATTCAGAAAACAAAAATCTCGTAATTTTTTGCTGTCCTTCTATTCACATTGCAGACAGAAGTATTATATTAATTTAAACTTAGCACTTGGAGGAGTTGGTGGTTAAGGTTGCTGGGTCTCACATGTCTCTGTGGTTCAAGTCCCAGACCCAGTGACTTGCAAAACATGTTGGGTGCATGTGTGTATGTGCCCAGAATCCTGAGAGGAGAATGGAGGAGAAAGGATTGTGTGGCCCCTTGGGGGTGCTTTCTGACTTCTCTGGTTATGGCAAGTACACATGCTCCATAGCAAATTCAAAACAAAACTTAGCAGTCTTGGTGAGAATACTGAGATTGAAAAAGGCTGGTTTCACCTAGCCAACATATATAGCAGCGTAAATTCACCCATCCCATGTTTCACTAATTTGGTGTGTGTCATAATCTAGAGGGAATGGGGTAAGGTTTATATTTGAACTGTGAGGGGTGGGGGGAGAGGAGGGACGTCTTAAGCAAATAATGGATTGATTGTGAACGAGGTGCCTCCATAAGACGAGAAGTTATTTTCCTGCATCACAGAAGCATCCTTTTACCCTTGAGTGAGTGTGCTAACTAAATCACGTCTGTCCATACATTAACAAGCAGATTCCTCAAGTAGGCAACATTTGGTTAGCCAAGCCCAAGTTACTGTTTGTACTTGAAATTAATAAAGCTGCATTTCCGTAAAAATGTACTCTGTAGTTAAGACTTTTTCTTGCCTTTTTGCCCCAATTAAGCCCGAATTAATTCAGACCCTTTCTCCCAGCCAGCTCGGAGACTTTAAAATGAAAGCAAACGTGTTTTAGAATGTATTCAGAAATGGAACTGTCCTTCGTGACTTAAAGTGGTTCCATTTGTTTACAGTTTCTGCATGTTCTAGAATGTAAACTCAGCATAACAATTCCTGAAGGAGATCCAGGAAAGAAAGCAATACATTTGAAGTGCAAAGAAAGAGTTGTGGCCACTACATGAGTAGATGCAAAGGGGGGTGGAGGTGGCATTTCTCACGTTGTAGGGTTTCAGACCCTGGAACTCTTCTTTTGCCCTCCTGTGTTCACCCCATTTCTTAGGTTCGTTACTGAATTGGTAGGTCTCATTGCCATTTGCCAAGCACGGTCTTGTACCTTTGATCCACAGCACCATTACACCAACAGCAGGCGGTCATTTCCGTTTACAGAGAAAGCAGATGTAGGGAACAAAGCGATCAATACTGCTTGGAGGGTGATGAAGTTGAAGCCCTGACTGTCAGCTTCCACAGGCCAGGATTTTCCCTGCCTTTCCTTGTTTCCTTTCTCATTCTGTCCCTATCACATCTCAATTCAGACCTGGACAACTGCCTTCCCCCTTCACTGAAACCAGCATGCTTCAAGCTGTC